AATTCTGGGAAGTCCTATGACTTGACATTAACACAATCATGTTGCAATAAATACATTTCTGAATGGTTATATTCCTAAAATATAAGACTGCTATTTAAAATCTAATGCTAGTTCCTTAGTAGTAGACTTTTACTTCCATTTTTTATGCGATTTCCTTTACAGCATAGATGTTACCTATATAAACACTTCCAGAAACATCCACAGACTTTTCAGCCATCTCCATCTTCTTTTTGAATGAGAAAGAGGCTGGTTGTATGGAATACTTGCCAATAAATGACAGGGAGAGGCTGCCAGCCTGGCTGGGGAATTGTAAGTTGAATACCATTTTGTATGGAATGGAGTAAGTCAACTCAAGTTACTATATTAGAACAGATAATTCTTCAGGCAAGGAGAGAAATGAAACACACCTAAGAGAATTGGCATTAGATACTTTAGACAACGGGCTGACAGAGGGAAAAGACAACTATGGTCTATGACACTCATTTCCCAGTCCAGCATAGGCTTCTTGCCCATATACTCTCTGAGTTTCCTCATCTGGATTCTATAGCAGTTGGAAAGGTTCACCAGGGACCTATAAAGAACCTGTCTAGTACCCACTGATGTCCATTGGGATCCAATACACAGAGCTCAAAAGTAGATTTTTCTAGCATGCAAAATGACCCAAATTTTATGATGAAAAATCCCAGTAGAAATATGTCATTCAGACTCAAGAAGCAAGTAAAAGTCTTGTACAATAGGACTGTCCTGGTGAGGTTTGGGAAATGAATGTGAGTAGATGAGAGTAGGTAGACTCCAGTGCCCTGTATTGGGCAGTTTCTTGGTTTGCAAAAGCATAGGTTTAAAGATGTAATGTTTTAATTTGTGTTTTAATCTGTGAACGAATTATTTAAACTTCTCTATATATAATTTCTTTCCCTATTAAACACAAGCAGATGATTCTTCTGTATGAAGGTGGTTGGAGGCTTGAATTAGATACTGCTTATAAGACACTGTTCTTAGTGATTAGTTCCTAAGTGCTTGGTTATGAGGTTGTAGTTATCAACTTTATTATTACCATTACAATTGTGCTGCTCCCTCTTATGCATCCTGTAATTTCCATCCCCTCATTTCCCTAACAATTAGATGCTCTCCACTAACAGCTCTTTCTTTGTGTAGTTCTTCTGTCTGTGTTGCTCCTTCCTCTAAAAAGTTATTAGGTTCTGTTTCTTACTTCATCTAAATCTTGTAGTCTATCATCACTTTTGTCTTTCTCTTTCCAGTCATCTTGCCATTTTTACATGGACAATTATTTTTAAATATATTCCCTGTTCCCACTTCAACCCATAGGTAGAATATTCTTAATGTGGACAATATATACACTGGGTGCATATTTTAGGGCAATCCACTATGTTATTAATTAATATTTTCTATGTGTCCTCATGCTCCTACAGCAATCAACACTACATTTTAATTTTCAAGAGCTTTCCAAGAATTGGATTTTTTTTTCCTGTTGGAAATAGTCTTTTTCCTCATTTACAACCATACTATAAACCAACAATGCATTTCTTCATGCTTCCATTTATTCATTTTCCACATGTTGGGAGGTATTTATACACCAAACTGCTTTGTTGGACCAGGCATACTCTTTCCTTGAGATCACACAGCACTGTCTCCCTACTGTTTCTAACACTGGATTACATTCACTTTCGGGTAACATTTTATGAAATATCACTTCTTTGACTATCTTATAAGGATACAAGTTTCTGTTTTGTGTGAAGTTTTCTGTCTGGAAAAACAGTCAGTAATGATCCAGGCTTATTTTCACAGATTCTTCCTAAAACATTACTTTCATTGCAGAAGTCAGCATTCCTATTAAAGTTTTATTCAAAAAAAAAAATCAGATCTTCACTATATATTGTCAGCCACTCAATAGGTATAGTTTGCAATTGTGAGAGAGTTTTGGGGAATTTCCTCTGTAACAAAATTAGCTGTGAAGTGTCAGAATGCCACCAGTGACTTAGTTGCCAAAACATTTTGTCTTGTCTGTAAAATAAATTCAAGTGCCAGGGAAATAAAAAGGAAACCCAGACAAACAGTACCGAGAAAGGCATTTTGAGAAGCAGAGGGCATAGTCCTTGACTCCTGCAGTCTTAGGACCTGGAATGGAGAAGTATGTCTGCTCATTAAAGAATGGCCATAGAGAGGAGAAGGGCTTGTCTGCTTTGAAATTTCTGGATGAAATCAGAAGGGAGGTGAGACAGAAAACCTCACCACTCACTCTGTTCCATGCAATGGTTGGACTATAGGAAGGACAGGTAGTTTTAATAAGTGAAGGAGAAACGAAAGTAGCAGGGATACGGAGGGAACATCCACTAGTTAGTATTTATTATTACAGACAGCACAACTTCAGTTTTCTGCTTTCCCCTTCTGGTGAATATTTGCATCATTGGGAGGAGTGAAAGTGCATGTGCTCTCCTTTCAGGAGGGTGGGACTTGTGCCCTCTAAAGGCTTCCTCCTTTCCTGTCGGTAGGATGACCAGTGGCCTTATTCTCCAGGTATCCCCATTGCTCATTTTAATAGCTGCTCCCTGGGAGAGTTCCCCATCTTCTTAGAAACAAGTTTATAGAAGGGTAGGGAAACTAAATGGCAGAATGAAAATCTTCTTCATGTCAGAGGGGGAAAGGTGGCTTTCAGAGTCTGATTTGTGCTCCATTACAGTGTCTCTAATATCCTCAGCCCCATCATAGGCTACATACAGGTATCTCTCCTCCCATCCTACCTCCATTTTCTGAGGACTACTAAGAAGCTTGCTGCAGACTCAGTTTCCTCCTTCCTGTGAAGCCTTTCAGTCTTCCCTTCTAGCCTGTTCCTATTGCTTGTTTCAGCCACAACACCTAGAAACACAGTCTATCTGGGAAACCCCCTGCCTAAAGTGGCCATATCTGGCAGTTACTCGGGTAGATGATTCACACTATCCTTTCCTCCTCCATTACAATTTCTCTGTCCTCATCTTCAGCATGGTAAGATCCTGCTTTCACGAGCCCCTCAACCCACTTTAACTCTGTTCATTGGAGACTTTAACACTTGGCTCAGACCATTCATGTTCCCCTTGGAATGATCAGCACAGTCTCTATAGCTTAATATTTGTCTTTCTCAGCCTATGTGCAGGGTCCCCTCTTCCCATGACATCTCAAATGAGTGGGGACCCCACATCTTGGTGTGGACAGGATCTCCTTAGCTCTTTCCTAAATCTTCTCTTAGCCTTTTTTCCCATCTCACTTCTATTCTTTTCTACAACCAACCCAGATTGTAGAAGCACTCTCTATCCGACAGACCACAGCTACTATACTTTCATAAGGTCCAGAGAGAGCAATGCAATTTAGGAACAGAGTACCCACCCAACAAAGACAAAGCCTGATTGACAGCTAGAATCACTCCATGCATCCTAATCCTAAATTCCTAGACACCAGTACAAAAAACCCCCATGAACAGCCAAGACAGTGTGCTTCCACCAGAATCCAGTAAACTTACTGCATTGGCCCCCAAGAAAGGCAATGTAGGAATTTTTGTCTTATTTTGCTTTATTTTCAGCATGTTTTAATATTACTGGTCTTTTTCTTGTATATTATTGTTTCTGATTTTGTGTTTTGTTTGTGAGTGTGCATTTGCCTTTTCTTTCTTTCTTTTTAATTCTGGTTTGTTTTTATTCACTTGTTTGTTTCTAAGGGAAGAGAAAAAGAAGTTATGAAGTTGGAAGGGTGGGGATGTGGAGATGATCTTATAGGAGGTATGGGAAGGATATATTGCATGATAAACATTTATCTTCTGTCAAAGAATGAGAGAAAAATAGGAGGGGAAGAGAAAGGTAGAGAAGAATACATGGACAGAAACACATGGTCTATCAATAAAAAACAAAACAAAGCCTGGATCATATTCAACAGCTATATGAACTAATGTAGTGACATTAGTAAGAGGCACTTTTGGAACACAAGCAACCAATGTGCCATTAGCGAGAGAAGGTTCATACAAGGGGTTCCGTTAGCTGAATGATAATACTGAGTTTCTGGCTTTGAAAAGATAAGGAAAATTATTTTAATGACAGCAATAAAATGTCTACTTGAAGATCAACTGACTAGTTTAAATACCCTTTATGGGGTAAGTCATGAAGAGCCTACCACAGGCATCTTTAATGGAAACATTGTCCCACACACTGAAGTACTGTCTTTATTATTCTTCTCCATGCTGTTGGGTCCTTCACATCTAAAAACAGAAGAATCCCTTAGAAGAAAAATCTAAAGTGTAAATTAGAATGATACCAGGCAATGGCTGAGTGTAACCATGCCATGCGCACGTATGACTGTGTATGTGTGTGTATGTGTGTATGTGTGTATGTGTTTGTGTAGACACATAGAGATAGAGAGTTTACTGTGGAAAGCTTTCTGGACAGAGATGAGGATTTACCAGAGTCCAGCTGAGGACTAAAGAGGAAAAAGATGGTAAAGTTGGAGGGCGGCACAAGTACAGCTCCATGAGTAAAGCTGGAACAGAGTCTAAGTGTTGCAGCCTTCTAGTTTTTCCCACCCTGCTGCTATTTCATCCTTCTCTATGCCTGTATCCTGAAACCCTCACCTTTCCCCAAATTCCTCCCTATGTGTTACTACAAAGGACACTAGACAAAAGTAGCCTCTAATTCTTGGACTCTGAACTCTTCTAGGATGGGTTTAATCTTTCTTTCATTTTACTCTGTGAGGCATATTTTCATGTGTCCTAAGCTCAATTTTTCTTCTGCCTCTATCTTCCCACTATTGGAATCGCAGGCATGTGCTACCACTGACAGCTTGAAATTTATTTATTTATCATTTGTTTATTTATTGCATATGTTTTTTGAAAATAGAATATTTATTCATACAATATATTTGGATTAAAGTTTCCCCTCCCTCTATTCTTTTCATTTCCTCCCCACCTCCCTTCCCCACTGGACCCATTCCATTTCTGTCTGTCATTAGAAAATAACAAGCTTAAAAGTATGGAATGCATCATGAATTTGCTTGTCATCCTTGTGCAGGGGCCATGATAATCTCCTTTGTATTGTTCCAGTTTTAGTATATGTGCTACCCAAGTGAGCACTTGCTATTAATTTTTTAAAAAGTGCTTAAATGCAAGTCAGAGTTCCAAATGTTCTTGGTCTAGTAAAAGCATGCATCAATATGCATGCTTTCTTCCATCGAGAATGGCCTCAGCTAATAGTTGTCCAACAAATGGCACGGAAACCATTTCCTACATATTTGGATGTCTCCTTCCACTCTCTCCAGAAAATTTGCAAGCATACACATTTTCTTTATATGGCTTACTTAGCTAGAGTAACCACAGGTAATCTGTGGGAAGTAGATGCATGAGAAAGATGAATGTCTTAGACAACTTAGAGGAGCATATTGTTTGCCCATGGGAAGGTCTAAACTTTCTTTGCATATTGAAAGGTTGAGGCACACACGTGGATAAGGTAGGTCATGTTGAGAAGATGACAACAGGAATGTTCAGTATTTCTTAATAGTTTTAAACATATATAACAAAAGTTCTTGTGCTGTGTATGTTGCACATATAGAAAAATGCAAGCATTTTGGAAGCTGAAGCAGGGGTATCCTTCCATGTAAGCTAGCCTGTTCTACAGAAGAATAATCTATTAAAAAAACAAAACCAAGACAAAGCATAGAACACAAAACTGGACTTCATGTGGTGGCACATATCTTTAATCTCAATACTCAGAGAAGGTAGTGGCAGGGGTATTGCTGTGAGTTCAAAGCCAGCCCAGTCTACACAGTGACTTTTGAGCCAACACAAACTAAACTACCTAAAGAGTGCCTAGGATTCTGGAAAGTCAATCATTTTCTAGTTCTCCCATTTCCTATATGATATATCATAAAAAAGATATTTACCTCAACAAATTAAGAATGAACATGAAATTATTCTAAATTTATATGACAAGCATTTCACTATGTTACCACTGACAGCTCACTGATTATGATCTGTATATTAAAACTATATCTTCAAATAATCCAGAGTACAAAAGCAGAAGAGTAAAATTTCGCACTTCTATATTCTTAAAAATAGAAGTGATACTTCATTAATTCCCATGCATTCCCAAGAGATGACTATTTCTAACCTCTGTTAAGAAGAAACCCTCAGGAATACCATGAGTGCTCAATGAGGAGCTACCACTGGCTCTGTATGATTGGATCAGAGATGCCTTGTAGTAAATACACCTGCCAGAGAAAATGACTTGGTTTATGAAACAGAACTCCAGGAAAATCTGGCTCATGTATAGCCCCAAACTCTGTTTCAGAGAAGCCTGCCATTCTTCTCCTTTCTGCTTACCTACAACATGATTTTTTCTCCAAGTAATTAATACTTTGTTCCTTTTCATTCTTTCAGCTTTTTTTCTTGTTGAGTTAAAGACTAAATTCCTTTAGTTCTTATCTCCAGAATCTATTGATCACCTTTTTGCAGCTATTAGCTATTCCATTGTTTTCTCAAGTATTATAGAGGCCACAGTAATCTTTAAAGGGCTTGGACAATTTTATATTACTGGGTAACTTCTCATTTTCTTGATAAACAACAGTGCCATAATTCAAGTTTGTGACTATCAGATGGTCCATTTGAAACTCTTCATTCCCTAATTCTGAGCTAACACACACACACACACACACACACACACACACACACACACACACACACACACAAAGTAAATCATCACTTATTTGTCCTCATTAAACTTCATCTTACATATAATCACCTTGCTTAATTTGCCAAGGTCCTCATAAATTCTGAAAGTGTGGTTCAAGTCAATAATCACCCCTACTCAATGAAGAGTAATCTGCATGTTTAATAAGTTTACTCCCTATTCCATATTTCAAACCAACACTGAAAAGTTAATTAGTATCCAGACCAATGCTGACTTGTGAAAAACTACTTTACTCAATATACCCTTCAAGGCTGACATTGAACAATTGCTCATTACCTTGCATATGGCCTATTAACAAGTTACAGTGCAATAATACATACTAATCCTACATGAAACAATAGCCTTAATAACATACAATGTGAATTCAAATGAAGAATCAATATTCATTTTTAAATTTTTTTCATATAACTTTTAGGGAGTTCAAAACATTAATCACACCATCAAAATCTTTATGAGTATGAGATGTCAGTGGTAACTGAGGAGAAAGAAGTTATAAGAAATAACTGTAACCTTATTTAGTAGCCAATAAAAGGATCCAATGAAACATTCTCTCACAGTAATATTATAAGTCATGGTGTTTGTGAATCTCAGCAATAGATGAGATGGGGGCTCTTCACAATAGAATAGGAGATTAAATCTATACTAATAGCTTAAAATTTCCCAGTGACAAAAGAAAATTCTTCACAGTACAGTAGGCCTGGGGATTTGACCAGAACACTCATCATTATTTTTAACAATGACCCAGATAAACTGTATGCCATCTAAGTGATACTTTGTTTTGAATCAGCTTCAACTAAGGTTCCTATAGTAAATCCACTGAGAATTCTTACTGGAAGCCTGAGGTTCAAATATCCGAATTGCAAATGTGCCTCCAAACTAAGTTCAACAGCAAATCTGAAGCACTGACAGCATCTTCTCATAAAACCACAGTCTTCTTGGAAAAGAGCCGAAGCCAGATGCTGCTGACCCTTCTCCTCACCTTCCCTGTCCATTGTCCCTTCTTGGGTACCTGGCTCTCCTCCAGCCTCATCCTCAGCATCAGTGCCTGAGAATGAGGACTCCACTGTGAGTGTTGTATATGTTGTATATGTGTAGGAGTATGTTTAGATGACAAGACACAAGGAGAAACTAAGAGCATCCAAACTAAGAGTCTAACACCTCCTTAGTGTATGAAGGAAGGAAACACACGAAGGTCGCTGGCAAGGTGGAGAAGTCAGGAAAGAAAGAAGGAACTTGAAATACAGAACCAGAAAAGGAAGATAGAGGTATGACTTACGGAAGTCATTGACTTGATATTCTTTCTTTTACTGGTACATAGTGCTATGTTTCAGGCATCTTGTTCTTTGGACACACTCAATCACATTATTCTTTTGTCACCATCTGCCCCCCCACTTTAGTTGCCGTCTTTAAACCCCAGTCGGCTTTCTGTCTTCAGGCCACATAAATAAGTAATGTTATGTATCTATATGAAATTAAGAATCCATAATGAAGGGGAAAAGGTATTCCTCTTTCTGAATCCTATATTACATAATATGAAGATATTATGTAATATATATATATATATATATATATATATATAATGTAGTATGAAAATAACCAGTTGCATACCTTGGATATTGAGTTTAATGAGTTCTTTATATATCTCAGATATTGATGGTCTATCACATGTGCAGATAACAAAGATTTCTCTCCCATTTGGAAATCTTTTTCTTTACTTGAATAATAATTTCCTTTGCCATGCAGAAGTTTCTAGATCTTATGTAATCATTTTTGTCAATTCTTGGGATTTTTTTTCCTGAGCTCTTGGAGTCTGTTTCATCAAGATCTTACTTATGCCTATATCCTTAAGTCTTTCCTATAATTGTTTCAAAATTTAACTTGTAATAAGGTATTTGATGTAGTTTGAATTTATTTTAGTAAGGGAAAACAGTTAGTGTTTATTTATGTATGGACACATGACCCTTCTAGCACTATTAGTCAAAGGGGAGATCTTTTCTCAAAACTTTGTTCAAAGGTCACATGGATATAGTTGTGTGTATTTAATTTTGAGTTGTTTTGTTCTATTCTATCCTACTGTATTGCAATGACTTAGGTGTCTGTTGTGTGTCGGTGTCTTGAGGGTTTTGTTACTATGGCTTCATGCTATAATTTGAAGTTTGATATTTTACTTCATTATATTTTAGCATTGATCTTTGAAGCAACTAATCTGGGCTCATAGGAGCTTACAGAGTCTGAACCAACAACCAGGGAGAATGCATGTGAAAAAAATCTAGTTCCTCTGCATACATGAGACAGTTATGTTGCATGGTCTATTTGTGGGACTCCTAACACTGGGACCTGGGGTTGTCCATAAAGCTTTGGCTGACTTTTGGGAACCTAATTTTCATACAAGGTTGCCTTGACCAGCTTTAATACAAGGAAGGTGCTTGGTGCTACCACAACTTGATATTCCATGCTTTGTTGATATACATGGGAGACCCGAGCAGAAACAGAGAAGGAATGGATTGTGGGGGAGGAGGCACAGCGAAGGGGAAGGAACTGGGAGGAGAGGAGGAAGTGGGAACTCTGGTGGGATGCAAAGTGAACACATTTAATGAAAAGAAATAATCTTGTAAATGTCTGAAAAAATGTTTTTCAAGTTTAATAAATTTCAGAAGAGAAGGAACATGGGTAGGATGACACACACTAAGATATTAGGCGGTAAAGCCAGGAGTGGAGAGTAATTAAGCAGAAATAGACTAGTAATTAGTTTTAGAGAAGCAGACTAAAAAACAGAAGAGAGGAATTAAGTAGGTTGGGAAAACAATATAGAGAAAGGGGATCAATAAAGCTACTTCAGTGAAAAGAGAGAGGGGGAGGGGCAACAAATGAGACAGACACGTTACAAACTTGCCAGCACTTGTGGCCGAGGTAGCAACATCTCCAACTTCTACTTGTCTTCTTTGGCAAAGCAAAAAGGAGGAAGAGGACAGGGTAGGACCAAAATGATTCTCTAGACTGAAATTGGAGAGCAAATAGAGGAAGTATAACAGTAATGGAAAGAGACTTGTGCAGGGGTGCAGGGTCAGTGTGCTGTCTGTAGCATGGGATTAGGAACAGGTTCTATTCCAGTGTGGCCCAGCCCAGTGGTTCCGACGTTTTCACAATGCCATGTCTCAGAGAATAGACCTGCATCAGTTATTCTAGAGTCTGACTTTTTTCTTCTAGTGACTGAACCTAGAACCTGATATAATACCCTCTCTATATTAGGCCAGAGCTCCACCACTGGGTTATATTCCCACTACTCCACTACTCTTGATAATTTCCATCATTGTTGCCCCATGGTTTTCATAAAACATAGTGCTCAAATGTCATCTACTTAAAAAGTGGTACTCTGGTATACTCCCAA